AAAGGTTCTCAAACATTTTGGTACCAGGATTATTCTAAACTCTTAAAAATTAATGACAGAATGTGATTTCTGATTATTTTGTCTACAACCATCAATGTGTTTGTATTAATAAGCTGGGAAAAATGTAAAACAGGACTATAAAAGTTTACGTGCCATATATTATCCAAACAAGGATGTCATCACACATATTTTACCTTCTAGAAAACTCTGCCTACACTTGTCAAAGAAAGATAGTGAACGCAAATAATATCTAAGCATTATTAAGAAAATGCTTTTCTCTTTGTACAGCCTCTCAAAGGGCCACGGGGTTCTCAAGTCATACCTTGACAACACGGATAAATAATAAGAGCACTGTCAGTTCCACAAAATCCTCCATAGAAGTTTTACCAGACAGAAACAGTCAATGGGGTAGTTTATCTTTCCATCCCCCAAATAGTTTTCAAAATAAAAAGGATTACCAATAACAGTAACTCATTTAATTTCCTGAATAATATGGACCAAATTTCAGCTCAGTTCTTCTGAAGACAAACATTAACAGTAAAACCTAGTTCACGTTTTAAGTGTCTATAAGACATAACCAAAACATAAAGCATGGAAATCTACAGACTCCAAGGACTGAATGTGTCAGTGGTTGAGACTCACATACATGAGGCCTTAGATTCAATCCCCAGCACTACAAATATCAAACCAACCAAGATTTTTTAAATTATGGAATTCATTATGTTCAAATACAGAAAGAGTTCAACCTTGTCATCCACTCCAAAATAAATGGAGGCATTCAACTACTTCTGAATCAGACAATTACATATTCTTCTTTATATTTTGTATTTGTTAATGAAAGAGCACATTTCACCACTCTAAATATGTATATACAGACCAGGTTACTTATGCAGTAGTAGGCTTAATTTCACTGATACTTAGATCAAGGTAATATAGTAAAGGTTTTGAGAAGAAAACCTGTATGTCTTGGGACTCATAAATGCTAATGTTTGGGATACTCTCACTACTCTCTTAAAGGTAAACAAACATCAATATCAAAATCACAATAAATGAAAATTCTGGATTTTTCTCTGTATTGATCAACAACTCCCTAACCTAGCGCACATATGCACACACATACACACACACACATACATACACACACACAGTGACAGATAACAAAGAAAAAATATCAGGAAGACCTTCCTCATACGTAACAGTTTTTCTTATGATTTTATTATAAAATCGGGTGTTCTTAACCTATTAAATAAAAAGATATTGCAATAATAATCTAAATGTACATATGTCCTTTAGGGCAAACAAATGATGCATTACAATATAGCCTCAGTCTGTCTGGATCTTCCCTAAGTGAACATATGCATATTTTGAATACAATACAAATCTAAGTAATCAAAGGCAAAGTAGCCATTTGCAAAATTTAAGGATCACCTCCCTGTAATTTCAACTACGCTTTCCATTCACAACATGCTAATAGAAAGCAGCACAGCATTTCTCAAAATCAGTCTTTGATCGTAAACACAAAAATTGCAATCACTCTCCTCAGATTTCTGGGCCAAAATGCCCCACTTCTAACCATAACTGTTACTTCTACTTGCCTTTTCAAAGAGGTTTCAACCGAAGCTTGTAGTGGTCCAAATCAAATCTAAAAAACAATTTGGTGTTGCATTATATTATTTGATTAAGTTCAATTCTCATGATTTTACAATATTTTTTTAACTATTTATGATTTCCTTTTCTACAGCTCCCAAAAGGAATGAGAGGTAAATCAAGTCTATAAAAAATATGCCTATCCTAATTACGAGAAACAATGCCAGGCACCAGCAGCCAGTAGGTCCCATACTCTCCATTATACCTCATGGAAAGGAATATTTAAATCTGCAAAATGTAAGAAAATCATTTCTGAAAGACCATCCTTTCATATTTTTGAGTAGGGCTCTCATCTGAAGGATAATCATACCAAGCAGCCTAAACTGAGACATCAAAAGCATTTACCCATCAAACAAATCACATGCTGGCTTATCACTCTTTTGGAAAAGAAAGCTTGATACAGTCTAACATCTCTATCTAAAATAAATAAATAAATCACGTAGCCTTTCTACTAATCATATCTCCCAAGTGTGTAGGAAGAGTCCAGTCATGTGTACTCTAGAGGAGGAGCTTATTAAATATTTAGTGATAAAGCAGTGCTGTGAAATAGCATTCAAACACTGATGCGTTCACCTTCAGCTGAAGACAGCACAATGCACTGACAGACACAGTTCTAATGACATCAGGACCTGTGGAATGTATGACCGCTAAGAAACACACGCTGGGGGGAAACAAAGAACAGATCTGATGAAATCTTCTCAGGTTAGGACTGGGAATTATTTCAATTACTTCTAAATTGGAAGGGAAGGCATCCTTTAACTCTCAGAATCATTTTCAAGTGGAAAGACTACAACACCCTCTACAAATGAAACAAACACATGAAGCTAGATTCTCCTGAGTTAGATCACAACTCTGCAAGTTTTTTAATAGGGTGATGGCCACCTGCAATACCTCTCATAAAATATAACTTAATCAAAATCAAGCATCAATGATTCAATATTTTTCATTAGCAACCTAAGCTTTTTCAAGAGGTCAATATTGTTTAAAAAAAAAGCAATTAGTGTACCTAAAGATAAAGTGCCTATTTATAGTGCCATACTTTTAAAACAAAACAGAACATAGCCATTTTCAACAAACACCAAAGCAGTCAGAGCTAATCTAAAACTAAGGAATTTAATCTTTTAATTTATGAAATTGAAAAGCACTTATCTTTACCAAAGTTAGCTGTTTAAAAACTGTTTATCTTTGCACATTCTTTACCTTTAGTTACTAAAAAAAATTTTTTTAGAACGATGCAACAAAGCTGAGAGATATTTCAGCATAAATATCCTTTCCACTCCTACACAAATTATCTAGTATCCTCTTTCGGCGATACTATCACATAACTGCCACTTCTATTTGTAATCCTTGCACTGATAAATTGGGCGCCAGCACTCCACATCATTTAGTACCATTACTAATTCAAAATATATTAGGAACATCTAGCTAAGCCCTCTAATCTCAAGGGGATATAGTACATGAGAATCTCTATAAAGAAATTCGCTAAACAAGTGTTTCTTCGCCCATTCTACGATGACATTCTTTAGTGATGATAACCCATAAGACACTAAAATTAGCAGACCGCCTATTTACTTCGGAGCAAAACACAGAAGGCAATTTTTTTCTTCCTGCCAGAGTCTATGAGTCTCATTTCCCCAGCAGCTGGCTGGAAGGATGCAAAATCAGAAGTGCAAGAAGGCTTCTACTTCCTAATCCGTAATCCACCCAGGAAAGTAAACACAACCGACAGCCGTGGTTTTGGCTCGGAAGGAAGCTGTGGCAGGGATGCTCACACCGTTGTTTACAATGTTCTCCGACTACCGCAGGCAGGGATCACACGCAGACCCAGCGAGAAGACACCCCGGAGGTGGTTCCCCAGACTCCAGTTCACACAACTGTCTCTCCAGCCATAAATAAAAACAGTGAGTGTTTCTAACAGAGCAAAGTAACCAGAAAAATCCCGGGATCGGGGGCCGGTTCCGTGACTTCAATTTGTGGGAGAAATGACTACTCTAGGAGGTCCTTCTCAGGGCCAGTCTGGGTGCATCCAGCGCTGCACCAGAGACTCGCGCGCACCTATCGCCTGTGGCCCAGCTGCGTCTCTCCCGGGAGAGGGAAACGCGACGGAGTCTTCTCGCAACCCTACGGGGCCCCCTCGGCCTCGGCCTCCTTAAACCAGATTTTCCCGTTGAGAGGATCCCAAGCGATTTCGAAGAGCAAGCTCAGCTCTAGAAGCATCAGCTCTCCCCATCCCAGCACAGATCCCTCTGCCATCCCCGGGGCGTGCACACACGCACACACCGACCCCACAGCCAACTAACCCCAGTAGAGGAGGTCGCTCCCACCCCTAAACAAACACTCGCGCGCGCGCACACACACACACACACACACACACACACATCTGTACTGCCCAGGGCCTGGCACGCTCAGCCTGCAAGCTCTGACGGACCAGAGTCTGGGTTTCGGAGGCACTGATGCTGGGCAGCAGCCCGGAGACTTCCCATCTCCCGGGAGAAGGGCCGGGTGCCTGCCCTCCTACCTGTAACCCGCCGACCGCGGCCACCAACGCTTTGCCCACCCCACCCGGGGCCCGCGGCCGCCGCGATTCATTCAGCACCATCCGCTGCCCAGTGCCCACTACCAGCACAGCAGCCCCGGGCCACCTACGAAAGTGGCAGCTTCCTCAGCCACAACCATGTAACAAAGCCTGGGCGCGCAGGTCTAAACCGAACTGCCATGAAGGGGACACAACGGGCAGAGTACGAGGAGCCAGCGCTGCTCCAAGACTCTGGGGCGCGACCTGGGCAAACGCTGCCACCTTGGGTGCTCAAGGCAGGCGTCGGGAGGGTCGCACCAGGCTCGCCAACCCGCATCCTCCACCATCCAAGAGCCCCGCTCCTCACCCGGTCTCTTGACGCTCCTCCAGCCTCTCGTGCCTCAACTGGAAGAGCTCCGGCCCGGCGGAGAACAGGCGCCCCCTCGCCTGCTTGCTGCCCCTCGTAGGAAAGGACACCGGGCTGCTAGGGGAGGGGAGAGTCCAGGGACGGAAACCGTTCCTACGCCCCAGCGTGTGAGCCCGCAAGCGAGCCCGGTCTCCTCTCCCGTTCATCACCCCTCAGCCGCCAAATCGCCCAATGGCTGGAAAAAACTCGAACCCCTGCCAAACTCGAGCGCCCACCAGCCAGGAGGCTCCCTCCCATGCCCGCATCACGATCGGATGAGTGTGTGTGCGCGTGAGGGCGAGTGTGTGAGTGGAAGAGTGAGTGTGCGCGAACCCCCCAAACCACCCCCCTCCAGCTTCCTGCCCGGAGGATGCCACTACCTGTGCCCGGCCAGGGCAACCACTATTGGGAAGAGTGTAAAGAATGAATTACCTTTCGCTGCCGCCGTCCCTGAGCAGATCCCATCCGCTTCTCAACAACCTGCAGCCGGGTGCAGTTTCCACAATCCAGCCATGGAGCAGGGGCAAAGGATTCCTCGCCACCCGAGGCGAAGACCAGCGCGGAGTGCAAAGCGGGCGGAAGGAGGGTGGAGACCCCAGTCCAGCCAACAAAAACAAAAAGTCTCTTCCCTTTCTTCTGCTACACAGCCATGGGGACGGGTCGGGGAAAAAAAAACAACCCAAATGCTTGTCTTCCTTTACGTTTCTTCGCTTCCCACACCCCAGCGGGGCAAAAGCTGAGCACAGAGAAAAGAGGGTTCAAATGTCTCTCCAAGTCCACAGTTGCACAACTTCGGAGTCGGGCTCGGGCTCCGCAGCAGCCCTGGGACCAGCGCGGCTATTAACCTGCGGCAGTCACAGCCGGGCCGCTCCGCCACCGCCGCTCGGGAACAGACGCTGCCGAGACGGAAAATCTGCCACCATCCCCCGCCGATCTTTATACCAGTTCTCCCACCCCACCCCCTTCTTTCCTCCTCTTCCTCTTTTTCCTCTTCTTCCTCGTCCTCCCCTTGCCTCAGCGCGGGAGGGATGGATGGCGGGGAGCCGCGAGGCCCGGGTGGCGTCTCCCCTGCGCCTCCTCCCCGCGCTCCTCCCGCTCCTCCCCCGAGCGGGGTTTCGCCCGGGTCCGGATCCGCTCTCCGCCCGCAACCTGTGCCGGGAGCCGGCCGAGCGCCGCGCCAACTCCTCCCGGGGCGCGGCGGGGCGCGGGGCCGCCGAGGACTGTGAGCCGAGGGCTGCGGGGCCCGAGCCCAGGAGCGGGCGACTTAGCTCGCCGGCCGGGCCGGGCGGCTGCGGGCACGCGGGGGCTCCATCGCGCGGCCCGAGCTCCGCGCCGCCTGCTCCCCGGCTTCCTCTCCTGCGACTCCGCGGAGCTCGAGGGGCCGCGCGGTGCAGATGCGCACACACGCGCGCACACGCGCACACACGCGCGAGCTTGCCACGCGCGGCCGGCCGTGCACCCCGCGCCCGCAGCGGAGCCGAGAAGAAAGGAAGGGGAGGGGGCGAGGCAAGTCACAGGCGGCGGCCGCGGGAGCGCAGGCGGCGCGCGGCCCGGGCAGGGCGGGGGGCGGCGCCCGACAGCACCGGCAGAGTCTGCATCCCGCTCCCGGGCGGGGGCGCGGGGTCCCGGGCGGGGGCGCGGGGTCCCGGGCGGGCGAGCGCGAGGCGCGGGGCCGAGGCCGAGTGAGCACCGGAGGGCGGGCTCGAGGGCTCCGGAGCCCGCAGTGGGGCTCGGCCGGGAAGGGGCGGCCGGCAAAACCCGGATCTGGAGTGCTTGCGGGCTCCACCTAGCCGCTCGGCCGAAGCTCGAGGTGGAAACCGGAGGGCTGCCACCGAGGCTTCCTCTTCAGGGTTTGTCAGACAAAGAGTACCTTTCTCGCGGAGGCGAGGCTGGCGTGCTTTCTCTCTCTCTCCCTCTCTCCCTCTCTCCCTCTCTCCCTCTCTCTCTCTCTCTCTCTCTCTCTCTCTCTCTCCCCTCTCCTCTCCTTCCCCCGTTTCCCCACCCCCTTTTTTTCCTCCCCCTCCCTCCTCCCTCCACTCTTCTCTTCCTTGCATTGCGCTCTAGGTGAGTAAAGGAAATCAGATTGAGTCCTGCCACTATCGGGTTTTTTTTAGGTGACATTATTCCATATTTTCATTTTTTACAGTCGCCAAGTCCTAAAGCATTTCCTGCCTTTAATAAATTTTATATTTTTTCAAACTTAATTCAAAGTACAAGTTCACCTCAGAGTTTAAAGTTATCTTGGTCTGATAATTGAACATAGGGATCCAATGACTATATTTCACATCATCAATTAAAAGTTACCATAATGGTTATAGAAAAATGCCTTTTCTAACCCTACTGCTTTCTGATAGATGGAAAGTTTGCTCACGTTGAGTGACCTTGCTCAATTACTGAACCTATTTGGGACTTTGTAAATGAAAGGATTAAGTTCTAAGGTCATTTTTTTCTGCAAAATTTCATGATTTCAAATGGCTATTATTTTCTGTATGAATAAATCCTCAGGTTGTTGAGATTTACTGTATGCTTCCAACAAGCTCGTTACCCATATTCCAGGTCCCCAAATTCCATTTGGTTGTATACAGTCAGAATAATCTATGACCCTCTCTGAGCTCTTCAGTAGAGAACATCCCCATCATTCCTGAAAACCTAAAATCTCATGTATTTAACCAATCATAAAAACACAGAATCTCTTTCATCCTTCAAAGAAATGTTCTCCAAGAGTCTTTTTCTCACCAACCCCAAAGTAAAAAATAAAATAAAATAAATCACTCCTTCCATTCCATTAAACCTCTGTTGTTTAGTCTTGGTCCTAAATGTCCTCCAAAGGCCTGTGTCCCCAGTCTTCTTCCCCAGCCTAGTGGTATCAGGAGACAGTAGGACCATTAAAAGTTGGGACCTATGGAAGGAATTTAGTTCTCTGGGGTGTGTCCTTGAAGGAAATGTTGGGAGCCAATCACTTCTCTGTTTTTGCTTCCTGGACTCCATGAGGTGAGCACTTTCACCTCACCATTGAGATCTAAAGCATGATGTTCTGACTGCCACAGGCCGAAGAGTAATGGAGCCAATCAACCATGGACTGAAACTGTGAGCCACAATAAACCTATCCTCCTTTTAAGTTGATCAAATATATTTGTCACAGTGATGGAAATCGAAGGAATTCCCTAATAGCCCCTTGGTAGTATCTTTATAACATATACTTCATTTTGATTTTATTTTTTAATAAATAGTTGCTATCCGTGTGCCTTCTTAGATTTCAAGATCTTTCTTCAATGCAAATTCTAAGTTTTCATTCTCTGTATGAAGAAAGATTACTGTATATCCACAGTTCTTTACACCTAGTAATTTTTTTAATGAAGTGTGGAGAAATAGATTTGATGATATTGCTGAATTCTGACCAAAAAGATGTTCACAAGTTCAAGTGAGGCTGCTTGAATTTGCCTAACATAGAACATCTATGAAATCTCATGGGCACTTGAAAATATAAACTGACATCTAAAGTCACTTGTAATTTAAACCAATAGTTTTAGAAAGAATAGACTTTCCAGCTGTGACAAGAGGCTCTTATTTGTACAGAAGGCAAAAGGGAGACTACTCAGTCTGTCTCACAAGTGCTTAATGGCCTTATTTACAAAAGTAATAAAATAGAATTTTAAAGGTATAGCATGAAAAGTGCTATGTAGATATTAAATGTTAATAGTGGTACTGGCAGCAGAAATACAAATAATTAGTAGCTATAGATCACTTTTTAGATTCAACCTCATAACAGATCTGAAAGAATTCAGAAGAATGAAATTTCAAAACAACAGTAATATACTTATCAAAATATGAAACATATGAACTGAAAACAGTATAATCAGTAAAAAATAATTGTAAGCGTTCACCAAAATGAATCTAATGAAAAATAAGCAAAATTGCAAAGACCATAATGAAAGAGAAAAATGTTTTTATATTTTTCCTTTTTTGTTTTAAGAAGAAAAATCTTAAAAGTAGCTAATGGTTAAAGGTAATAAAAGAAAGAAAATAGGTTGTTTATATGATTCAATCAGATGTCACTGTAGCAGTTTTTTAAAGCAGCTACCTATATATTAAGCTCAAATCGGCTGCTTCCAAATCATCCTTAACCTGATGGGTGTAAGCTTCTATATTTGATTTAGGTTATCAAGTGTCCCATTCTATTGCCAGGAAATCTGACTCTTGTCAATGTTTTTCTAAGGTGAGCCTTCCACAAAATAAATCCTGTGCCTCTTTTCTACACAATTCTATTTAACACTTTCTCAGGGCAAGACAGCATCAAAATGACATCAATATGACAATATAACATCAATATGATGTTATTATGCAAAATAGCTCTGCATAGTAGAGTGGTTTTTGAAAAATATATCACTGTTGGCCTCAGTGCCATTAAAATTGAAAAGAAATATTTGCCAAATGGAAAAATAGCCCCCAAATGGAAAAAAAATCTGAATATCTAATCAAGTAGGATAAACAAAATTAAAATATTTTAATAACTTAAAATTTACTGACAAAAGTACCCTTTTCAAATCAACAGAAAGTACACTAAGATTCCCAACAGCATAAAAATTTGAAAAAGAACATGACAATGTGAACATCAAGTAGATACAAATTGCCAATAAATATAAGGAAATATGAGCTCCCTACAGAAATCCAATGCACAAACATATATACAATTAAGAGATCCATCATGTTTCATGTTTTGCCCATGAAATTAGCTGGAATAGCAACAATGACCCACTGCTAAACTCTGGCAGGAGTATCTGGGCCAGATATATCCATATACTAACAATGTTCAGCTACAGAATTGTTCTGGAAGGAACATGGACAGTATGTTTCAAGTGCCTCATAGATTATATGCACTACTGAGGTAAGCAGAAGTGTGAACAAGGACTTTGTACAAGGATATACATGTCAGTTATGATTGTTACAATAAATGAGGGTTTGTATATTTGAGATATATATATATTCAGAAAAACATTTTTTTGAATTTGTTTTTCTCATACTCAGTAAGGGACCTCTCATCTGATTGGAATCAGTAGTTATTTTGTTAGCAATGGAAAAAAAAGTTGGTGAAACCGAAAACTAACTTTTAAAAGATACATACATAGTCTGTTAGGTAGTATTTATTTTGGCTGCAAGCAACAGAAACAAGAATTTGCACTGACCTAAACAAGACAGAAGTTCATGTCTCTTTCAAGTAAAAGTCTCAGAGGTAGTTGATCTATGGCAAGTATGGTCCGCCAAAGTACCCCAAGCCAACATAAGACAGTCTAAGCAGTTGTCTTATTGCTCATCCACTGTGTCTTTTACCCTGGGTTTCAGTTCTAGCAACCCTTCCTACCTTGCAGAAGCAAAGAAAAGAAGGAGGAGGAAGAGAGGAGTATCCTGGCTCCCAAAAACATATTAGCAAATTTGTGTGGATTCTTTCCCTTTCACTCTATTCTGAGATGAGCAATATAGACTCTTCCATGCAGCCATGTATTCCACTGATAATCAGGGTTCTTTCATGATTTAGCTCTTTCTCAGCCTATGGCTCACCATTGTAACTGCCCTTAGTTAGGCTTTTCATATATTCATCTTTGCATACATTAACCAAAGGAATAGCAAATGCAGACTCTAGACAATGCCACTTTCACATAAAATGATCGTGTACTTCAGCCAAGTGTAAGCTCTCACAAGATTTCACATTACTGCGCTTTTGCCGTCAGGGACAATACTCTTAATACCCAATCAAATATCAGGACAGTTATACTCTTAAATGCTACTAGGCCCAAATACGCTGACAAATCAAGGTAATCAGGGTTAAATCACATCTGCAAAGCAGAAAAGCATAGCACTCAGACTTCTAGTATGTGTGGCATGATTAGAATTCTAAG